TTTATTTATTTATTTTTTTTGCTTCAGGGTATTATGAGGGTACAAACATTATGCTTACACTTTATGTCTTTGCCTCGCCCAAGCGAGGGTTAGAGGCATGATGCATTTAAAAGTTTACTTGTTATATTTTATTGAACATTTCTGGACATTTATAGTAAGAAGACTTTTGGGTATCACATTTTATATAACTTTTTAGCTATTCCAGTCTCTTTGTGGTTATTCAAATAAATCAGGTCATTCTTTTCTTCTGTTGCTTTGGAACATTGTCCCCTTTGTCTAAAACGCCTTGAGATCCTTTGTCCATCTGGCCAACTGCTATGGTCCTTAAACACAGCTCACGTGTCACTTTCTCATGGAAGAATTTTTTCCCTTATATATCATTCTGTGTTACAGAACCCCTCCTTCTATGCTCTCATAACATCCTATGTATATCTCTAATGGCTCTTTTTACCCTGTAATATAGTTGTTAATTTTCCCTTTTTCTTCTCTACTACACTATGTTCTTGAATGGCAGGAACTTAGTTTTAGTCTTAGTTTTCTTTGAACGCTCAGCAGCTAGCACAGTTGCCTGGGTAGATACTTAGCAAATTCACAGAAAAAATGACTAGCAATTTGTCTTTCTGGGAAGTATGCTACAGTAAAAAAAGTACTATACTGAGCTCTGGCCATAACTAGCTGTAACTCACAAATTCTGAACCTCCAATAAGGTGACTATTTAGATCTCTAAAGTTCTCTGTGATTCTGTTAACCTAGTTTTTTGTTTCTATAAAATATGAATAATAAAACTATTTTAAAAAGAATAGTCTTCAATTAAAATGCTTATTAATTTATACTGGATTTATCTCAATTATTTAGGTTTTACTATAGAGATTTTCTTTTATTAGCATAGTGGTCATAGCAAAGTTGTCAGAGAATAGCTTTCCTAACTTGATTGCCTTAGGGCCATAAGGATCTATTTTCACTCAGCTTCACTAGCATATGATTTTCCTCCCTTGAGACTTTCTCTTTCTCCTCTTTATCTTTTGCCTCCACTTTTATTCATACTCTTTACCTAACTCCAGAACTACTCTAGGAAGGGGACTGACACATGATAGAAAGTTATGGTGAAGGGGAAGAAAAGGGAGGAGATAAACTCCAGGAGTCACTAGTCTTCCTGCCTTCTCTCTTTTTTTTTTTTTTTTTTTGAGACAGAGTCTCACTCTGTTGCCCTGGCTAGAGTGCTGTGGGGTCAGCCCAACTCACAGCAACTCCTGGGCTCAAGCGATCCTTCTGTCTCAGCCTCCTGAGTAGCTGGGACTACAGGCATGCGCCACCATGCCTGGCTAATTTTTTCTATATGTTTTTAGTTGTCCAGCTAATTTCTTTCTATTTTTTTGGTAGAGACGGGGTCTCGCTCTTGCTCAGGCTGGTCCTGAACTTCTGAGCTCAAACGATCTGCCCGCCTCGGCCTCCCAGATTGCTAGGATTACAGGCATGAGCCACCGTGCCCGGCCCCTGCCTTCTCTTGATTGGAGTGAGGGCATATTGGTCTTTACAAAGACTTCAACCCCAATCCTTGCTCACTACTATTCCTTCCACCTATATCCCATGTAATTTTGGACAGGCAAAAACATAAAGAGGGGAGAGTATTTTATTTTCTTTCTAGTTCCCTATATCCTTTCCTGTGTTTTTAAAAACTCTGCCTAGTAATTTTAAAACAAAGTCTCTAATCTTAGAATCTGTCATATAGAGAAAGGAGTCTCTGTTTTCCACTGAAGCGGAGAAATGTGTCCCTACCTAAAAATATCTTTACATGGTAGTTAGTTTCTAATGTTAGAATACTGTTAGTACCACAGGCACATCATAAGTTAGATAGGCTTTTTTTTGGTCCTTACCAAAGGGGTCACTGCCACATATAAAATAAATTCAATTGATTTATGAGGGATATGGTTTACAGATTATAGTTACAAATTAACTTCTGAAATACAAGCTATTTATAATTCAGGGTCTGGTTATCCAACTGAGATGAGCAGTTTTTGTATTTTAAATCACGCTAAAATAATAATGAGTATCTTCATCTACAAATGTGCTTGAAAAGATCAATGCTATATTAGTCAAAATATCTGTATTATAAATAATAGATATTGAAAACCATTTGAAAAAAGATGTACTAATAAATCTAAGATGTGTGCTCTGTTAGAAACTTACATTCTAAGGAGCATAGTATAAAAACAAGATTATTTTCACAAAAATCTAATTGACAAATGAAGACAGGCAAGGTTTATCATATTGCTTATAAATTCTACTGCCTGGTTTCTTTTAATCCTATAATATGTGGATCCTTTCTATTTGTGAAGCTACCTTAACTACTGCACAAATGATTTAAATTTGAATTTTAAAACTCTGAGATATGTAAAGTTTAAACGGCAGGCTAAAAATCTTTAATTTTAATTATTGAGCTAATTACTTCTTTTATTGAGTTAGGTTGATTTCTTCCTTGATTAAATAGAGCAGACAGCCTAGATAAAATGGGGGAAGAGAAGAGGATCATAAGTCCTGGTTTGCCCGGGATAGTCTTAGTTTACACCAGATGTCTTGGAGTAATTGCTGGAGTCCTTTCACTCTCAAAAGTATTCCATTTTGGTTGATGATAAAGTACCTGGCCACCCTGCTCTTTTTTTAACATTAAAACAACAACTATTATTAAGTACCCAATATACAGAAGGCCAAGAATTGAAGGAGATACTAAGGAACGTAAGAAATGGTAACTGTCCTCAAAGTGCTTAGACCTTAGTCGGAGAGACTGAATGAGTATTTTAAGATAAACAATATAAAATTTAAATGACTTTAAAAATACAACTAGAAGAAATATTACAAGATGGCACAGGGTTATTTGGTAAATGAATGGCACAATAATTTGTATTATAGGGTTTCACAGGAGACAGGAATCACCTGCTATTAACAATAATACCACAGCACTCACCATTTATTGAGTACCTTATATGTGGCAGGTCTGGTTTAGAGTGCATTACACACATATTGGCAAATATTCACAATTATCCTATTAAACATACTATTATTGATGGATATAGAAATTTTATGGATTAGAAATGTACTTATAGAGGTTAAGTAATATGTGCAAGATTACATAGCTAATAAGCGGCAGAGTCAGGATTTAAACCCAGGTTCTCTCTCTAATTCCAAAGCCAGTGACCTTTTTACTGCCATCATGTTCACATATAAAGGTGGTTCTCAACTGGGGGCAATTTTGCCCCTCTAGAGGATATTTGGTACTGTCTGGAGACATTTCTCTTTTTCATAAATGAGTGGGTGAGGGGGACTCACGAGGGGGTCGAAGCCAGGGGTTCTGCTAAACATCCTACAGTTCACAGAACAGTCTCCCAGAGCAAAAAATTACCTGGCCCAAAACTCAACAGTGCTAAGATGTTCACTAAAGAAAGACTTTACAAAAAACTTGTTAAAGTTAAGATCTGAGCTTAGTCTTAACGCACAGGTAGGATTCGGATAGGCTGGAGGTGGTAGTAATAGGGGTGAATTCTAGATAAGGGAAATAGTACAGACAGCACAAAACAGGTTCAAGAGACAGCGAATAAGCCAATGAGAAAGACTGAAGGAAAATAATATTGAAGGGGAAGTGGGAACAACTACAAAGTTGAAATGACCTTTTTGAAATACTGAGGAACTTGGACTAGATTCATTGAAATTTCTGAGCAGGGAAGTGACATGAACAATATAATGTTATAGTAAGATTAATCAAAAAACCAGGGCAAAGACTAGTCAGAATGCTACTGCAATACTTTTATGTGGTGGTAGTGAGAAAGAAAGGAAGAAATCATAAACAAATACACTATTAGGTACCATAAGTTTTTGTTTATTGGGTCTCTAATGATTATTATTGATTACCACTCTTACCTGTAATGCACTGAAACTGTCCATCTTCTCTTCTTATTGTAAATGCTTCCCCCGGGTTAACTTGTACCAGAATAACCTTAAAATGAGGGGAAAAAATATTAATCAAAACAACAAAAAGTAAATCAGAATATAAAAATATTAAACGTTGCTAGTAACAGAGCAGATGTGAACTATTTATCCTTATAAAACTGGGAAGGAAAATGGGGATTATACACTTACGATGCGGGTTTCTTCAAAAGGTATTACTTCACTTTTCTGGAGGTCAGACTTAAGCCAAAAGTAAAGGGAACAGAAAAAGAAGATAGTGGCAAACTTTCATTGGAAAGAAAAGTCAATAAACTTCACTCTGAAACAAATATGGAGTCAAACCACAGAATATTTGGATCATCTATGTGAGTTCATCAGTGGCTCAGTATTGTGTTTTTCTAAAGATAAAGTAAAAATTAATAGGTAGAGCATGAGCTAAGCATACTTGAATTGGTATTACATCTTATAAGTCATATCTGAGAATGTATTAAACTAAACACACCATTTTAAGTAGTTTTATTTTTATTATACAGGTGATACATACTAATTTCATGACATTTGAAAACAAAAATAGGAAACTGGGGAAAAAAATAAGTCCTACTATCTTAAGATAAGCAGTGTTAACATTTTGATAAATTTATTAGTCTTGTTCTTCACAGGATTGATTCCTCCCCTAAATTCTAGATACAAGATATTCAATTCTGTATCTTTTCTTAAGTTTAATATAACAAAAAAGACTTCCATGTTATTACTCAAATATATATCATCAAATGATTACACCATAAACTACTTAAGCATTCCCTTAATGTAAGGAGTTTAGGTAGTTTTTAACTTTTTCATTATTACTAACAATGCCAAAGTGAGCATTTTGATATGTAGTTTCCCCCTCTCTATAGCTAGTGTTGTTTCATTATGATAGATTATGAGAAACAGAATTCTGGTGCCTGCTGCTCTACTGCCTTTTAAAAGGGTTTTACTACTTCATATTCCCTTTCATAGTCTAGAACATCCTTTTACTACGTTCTCTGAAACCTTGAAAATTAGTTGTAAAATCTTTGTTGCCTTGACAGATGAAAATAGGATATTACAGGATGACTATCCCTTATCCAAGATAACAACTTTATATCTGCCCCACATCATCACCAAAGGCTATCAGATGAGAAGATGTGTACCAGATGGAAGGGAAGACGTCTTAGAAACATCCTGGGACTTTTTCAAAACACTCTATATATAGTTAGGTCCCTTGCTGGAGGGTGAGGCATCTGGTATTTTTCCCCTAAGCTGAATTCCAGGGAAACAATGTCTTTCTAATATAATTACTAATAAGTTGCTAGATGGCAATCAGAAAAACCATGCTATTACTTACTGCTCTAGAAAGTATTACTACTTTTAAGTTCTAAAGGATTTAGTAAGCAATATAACATCAGTGCTAGTTTTTAGAATCTCTAAAGGAAACAATAGAAAAACCCAAGTCATTATAAGTAATTTGTTCTGCACAGTTAACAAAAATTTAACTTTTTGAATATAGGAAGTAATTTTAAAGCTTGTTTCTACAATACTCTAACAGTTTAAATTATTTGAGAGATATTTATCTAATTATCAAATATTTAAGGACATATTAATTCCTAAAAGTATTCACCTGTATTTTGGTAAAAAATAATCTATAAAATTG